AAAAATTTATTTCGTCAAAGTATTTGCAATTTTTGATTAATTTTTCACATATAAAAATTACGACAAGGAAAAATAAAATACTGAAATGTTTTGATTTCAATGTATTTTTCTAAAATGTGGGATAATATTAATAAAAGTATAAGATACAGATACGAGTGAGATAATAACAAAAACAGATTAAAATCTTTACCATAAGAAAACAATTATTATGCACGAAGTCACCGATATATTACTGGCATAATGTACAATCGAATATGACATTAATATATCGGTTTACTTTTTATACATTTCGTTTTTTTTTTTTTTCCTCATTTTTACAAACATCAACAGGAAAGGGAATAGGAACCTTTCTTTTATACTTGTGCCCATTTTGCTTGCCACATTAAACAATAAAGTGTCTTTACATAACTATAATAATGTATATTTGTTTCGTTTTGCAAACACTTGGTTTTGTGAACAGAAATAATAGATAGGACTCTTCATTTAGTCGGACTAGCAATATCGGCAAAACATCATATCAGGCTAGTTCTCAACAATTGTACGATCAGTGAATTGCAGTGGCTTTTCTTTTCTTAATAAAGCTAATTTTGCACATAACCACTTTGTGTATAATAGACTCGATAATAAAGCGTTTTACTTCGCCAAAGTGAATATGAATTATCAAATTTAAGAAGATATACACCCTGTAACGAATAAATATATAACAACATATGATAATTTACAAAGATTTGAATGTTTTTGAAAAATATTATTTACCTGTCCTGGATATCTATGACTTCCCGCATAGATTTCATCTTGCGAATCTCTCCTAAAAGTCTATAAAAACATTATATGTATAGCAAAAAAAATATTATTAATATAGAAATAATTATATTTCTCTTTTATCTTATTATGCCGGATACTATTAAAAGAGAAAATAGTGATACATAGATATACTTACAGGTACTACCATACTTGTAGGTGGTGGCGATGGTTTATAATCAGATGGAATCGAACCATTTGCTATTCCACTTTCTAAATCATCTCTTGTTTCATAATCATCATCCTCCTCATCCTCATCCTCAGACTCGCTAATATGTACTGATACTTGATTGGTTTCCGGTTTTGACCACTCAAAGAACACTCCAAAACCAATGTCATAGTTATCTGTTGCAAATTCCCAAAACAAATAAGAGCCATCTTCATGTGTTGGTACTCTAACTGTTACTGTTTCTCCATGTCCAACCTTAATAACTGCATCGCTATCTTCTCTCCTAATAGTATTTTTAAATTCTTCTACACCCCCTCTAGTCCACATTTCTGGTGGAGCTATAGGTGGATAATCTTGCAAGTCATCAGAATCTTCCTCATTTAATTGAGTTGTTTCGCTTGTTTCTTTCTGTTCTTCCTTATCAGCATTTTCTATAGTGGCAGTGGTCATTTCTGGGGTTTGATCTTCTATGAGTAACTGGTTTTGACGCAATTGTTGCATATATTGATGATAATGTTGTTCTTGTAACTGCCTTATTAGTACACCTTGTTGCTCTGGATTTCCAGGATATTGTTGTTCTGCATACATTTTAAATTGATAATACGTTTGTTGATTTAAGGCATCTTGAATTTGTCTCCTCTGAATTTCTTCCTTTAATCTAGCTTCTTCCTCTTTCTTTTTTTGCTCATTTAATTCTTGTAATCTTCTTTCTTCTTCTAATTTCTTTGCTTCTTCCTCTTTTTTCAGTCGTAATTTCTCCTCAATATCTCTTTTTTGTGCTTCTACAACTGTTCTAAATAATGGGCATAATTTATCTAACAAAATTATAAATCCTTCCATTGCTTGTTCCTTAGATATATCTCCTAGATTTTGCCATGCCAAGCGTCTATCCTTTCCAATTACATCCAACACACCTAAAGGTGGTGCATTTTCTGCAGTACATTTCCCATGTGTTACTTGCTGAGTAAAAGCTACTAGTTTTAATTTGTCTTCATAAGACAAATGGACAGCTTTACCCTCCTTCTCTATAATTATCATACAATTTACACAAATTATTATCAATTACATCAATATTAAAATAATTAATTTTTATTTACTTATTAGCAATCAATAAAAAGAAAATACAAGTACACAAAATCAACACAATAATCATTAGTAAAATTCTCATGTATTCAATACTTTAATATGTTAGCAATGTATCATATAACAATGCAATAACGCGTATAAATAGGGACATGTCATTTTTCTAATATTAATTTAAAGAAATGAATAACGAAACTATTCTAATAAACTGTCAATATAATTGATTTACCTTTGTAGAAATTAACTGCAATTTTATATAATTCTTTAGTTTCGAAACCCCATAGTCGAGGTACCAGCTTCTTTCCATTTTCGCTATCATCCTCGTTTTTCGTTGATTCCTCTCCTGATATCGTCAATTTCTCGATTTTCTTTCCTATTGAGAAAATGTCACCATTGGTGCCCGCCATTTGCAATTGCACTGACACGTCAAACACTGTTGTTAGAACTGCCCTAACCTTCTATTTTTGACAGTACACCGCAATGGAAACATTTCTAAAATTTCTGTGAAAATCATGCAACGAGAAAAGTACTGTATTCGCAAATATATCATCATACAGTACTATTTTTACAATAACATTTATACATATATATACAATATTAATAATTCAAATTCTTATATAGATCAATTGCCGTATCTTAAGAACGTCGAATTACACTGATTAGAAGTTAATAGAAGACAGAATGATTTTTAAAAATAGATTTAACTTTTTTTCGTAATATTAGTGGAAAAAATTCGAATTGAAATAGATTAAATTGTTCATAGAATTCATTTTTAAACTGTTGATTTTTTTAATATCCAATTTTTAATTCGAAATAAAATTTTCGCGGTTAATTCAAATTAATTTAATCGCGATTAATTTCAATGATTTGAAATTTATTTTACTCCCTTACTATCAAATTGAAAAAAATCTTAAAATTTTAAATATTTTAAAATTTGAAAGAAAAAAAAAGATAATTAACTTCTTACAGATAAAATATCTGTAACGAACTAATTTTTACTTAATATTTTTTTTCTTAAAATAAAATTTCATAATATCGTAATAATGTTATGGATGAAAAAAGAATAGTTTTCCGATTAAAATAATTAATTTGACCTTCAAGTTTCTCTCACTATTTCACCTACATAAAAATTAACGAATATATATATTCCGTTATACTTTGTCCTCATTCACCGGTCGATGGTTCAATTAAAATCCACCGACGATGCTACTAGTTCCAATCCCTATCTGCAGATGTCTCTGAATTCGGGAGCAACATGTTTAGTCGGCGACCGAGTGTCGCGAGTGTAGTTCGTTAGTGTAGCGAGTTGGTTATCTTTCAGCGTGCGAAGCGTAATGTAGAGGCGCGGGAGAGGCAAAAGCGTACGGACGCTTTCGATTCCGTGGGAGATCTCGTCAGACCTGGCGGACAGATGCGTGCGAGGCGAAGTACACTTCAGCGGCTTCAGTGTGCCACTGATTGTGAGTAGCAAAGCTTAGTGAGCGCGCGCGCGCGTGCGAGCGGCAAATTGTGTGGATCTTTTTCGTGTTTTTTTCGACATGGCAGGGATATACCGTTATCCATGAACGTTTCTCCATCTCAATGCCTCCCCTAAAGGTGTACACATCGAAGGGTATTCCCTAAACACTGAACTGAGATCGATCAAGAGGGGAACCGGTACATGGAAGTTTCCTCGTAGGGAGAACAACGCGGATACAGCAACCGGAGAAGCGATCCTGCAGAGCAAGGTTAGGTGAGTACTCTTATGATCCGGCATTGTTTTAATCGCGTGGTACGCCGCGTTTTACGCGTTCCTCCCGCTGCATCGATTTTCGACCTCGTATACCAGCCAGATTTTTGTCCTGTCAACCCCTAGTTGATCCGTTTTTATTAGTTTGTTGTGTTTTGTCGCACTATAGTCAAACGCTTGTCCGTGCGGCGTACATATACTTACAAAAGCGTAATATATTTACATGCCACACCACCGTATATTGACACTTAGGTGTGTACACTTTGAGGGACACAGGTGAATGGAAAGGACTCTCTAGTATGCTGTGCGAGAAATTCTCTAGAAAACGTGACGTGATGGTTCAGTGGGACGCGATCGCTTCGAAGGAAGAATTGATCGACTCGCATTGCAGTCGCTGTCGCCACTGACACTTTAATAAATCTGCGGACCTTTAAAGGTTTAAAGGCTTGACGCTAATCGATGTTTAAATGCAACGTGATTGAACGCTAATCTGTTTAGAATTATTGCAAAAGATTCGAATGAAATCTTGATATACGTGCATAAATATGTTTCTTGTATCTTTTTACACTGTGTATTATTTTACATCATTTCAAAGGCATTTAACGTTTCAATTTCTTATTAATTGTTAATTTTTCCACACCAAACGAGGTGTGGAAAATACAGAATTCACAACGGTTGTTAAACTCATTGTCTTCGTTTTTTCCTCTCTTTGATCTTTTTTTTTTTATCTCATTAACGTTTCTATTAGAATAAAAATTGTAGATTCCGTTTTTAATCATCTTGTAATTTCTTAATAGCAATTTTCTCGTTCCATGTTTCTTCATCTATGTATCATTAAGCTGCGTTTTTAATTATTTTCTATATAACGTCTGTAGAGAATAACGACCGAATTTCGAAATTTTTATCTCTTTTTGAGACGAATAAATTTATTCGAAAAAAAATTAACTAATATTTTTCGAGTTAATGACAAAAAAGAACGAGGGGGAGGGAAAAAAAAAAAGGATACGAAGCATCAGAAACTTGTTACTTCCATCTAGTCAGTGGTTTTTCGTTTTTCTAAAAACGATTTCATTGTATTTCATATTGAAATCCAGGAACACGAATCCTTTGTTAATATTTACGAGGCACGTAATTACGCCGGATCGGCCGAATTTCATTTGGCTCGGATTAATATTACCACGCCTGCGTTGAAATTAGAATTTTGCACGTTCGTTTCGATCGTTTCGATATTCGATGTATTTGATCTGCTCGATTTCATGATTTTACACCGCTTTAAATCCTATGGAAAACGAAATTGTGGAGGGAGGGAAAGTTAAAAAAAAAAAAAGAAACGGTATTTGTAAAAATTAAAAATTAAAACGGTATTTTTAAAAATTTAGAAATCGTTCATTTTTGAAAAAAATGTAAAAATACAAGAATCAAAATGTGGATTCGTTGTAATTTCATTCAGAATAATTTTAAGAGATTAAAAATTCAAAAACTATTCAATAATTTTTCATTTTAAATTCTCCCGAGCAATATAGAATTGGACTTTAAGAGGAGAAGATAAAAAAAAAAAAAGAGAGAAAAACAAACTTATCTTATTAGAGCAAGAAACGCAAAGTTTATTTAACAATTCTGACGTCGATACATCTTTTTTTTTCGATGTTTTCATTATTATTTAATTAATAAACTCATAACACGATACCGACAAGTGATAGTTAATTCAATTTAGACGTGGTACAAAATCTAGGTTAGTTCCAGATTAGAATTAAATTAAAATTAAATTAAACCACTAACAGGAACAAACTTGTTGTAACGTTTTATTTGAGAAATTTTATCGCTAAAGAATAATATTATCGATAAATTCATCATCGATTATTGGCATCTTCTTTAACGACTAATAAAATTGAAATTAAAATTCCATATTTCTTTTTCGTATAATATTCGAACTATCGAATATTATATTCTAATTATAAGGTTTAAAATAATCGATGAAAATAACATGTTTTTATTATCTTCAATACCAATCTATATATTTTATATATGTAATATTATGTAATATATTCTCTTTAATACAAGGAATGATAGAAGTTTGCAATTTGCAAGCTTTTCGTCGGTATCGGTATATCTATATTTAGCCGAGGGCGTATTTCATAACCAGGTCCTCAAGTTTTGTAGGGCAAGCATCAGAATATACCTATAGCTCGCCCCGTTTAATCGAGTTTGATCTCCCTGGCCAGTCATCTTCCATTTACCAACTAACGCGCCATGATTATCTACAAATTTATCTTTCTTCCTTCCTTTCTTTTTTTTTTTTTTTTTTTTTTTTTTTTTTTTTTTTCTTTTTTTTTTTTTTTTTTTCTTTTTTTTTTTTTTTTTTTCTTTTTTTTTTTTTTTTTTTCTTTTTTTTTTTTTTTTTTTCTTTTTTTTTTTTTTTTTTTCTTTTTTTTTTTTTTTTTTTTTTTCTTTTTTCTTTTCTTCTTCAAATGAAACTTTCTCTCCCTTATCTATTGTCGATAAAGATAAAAATCGAATTTCGTTCTTTTCTTTCGTCTTTCAAATCGGCTTTGAAATCTAGAAAAAAATATTTGATATCTCTGATCATCGTTTCGATCATCGTTCGAATAATCATCTTTTTTTCTTTTTCTTTGTCATTTCTCAAGGAATAAGTTTGGAATAAATAAGATTTAAAAAAAAAGATTCTATTTTTTTCGTTTTATAATTCGTTCTATAGTGGACATTGTATCAGCAGTTCGAGTCCTTTCACATTGTTCGAGATACACGTACGTGGATACAGGGAAGCTCGAGGAAACTAGGCCAGACTGGACTTCCTTTCTCGTTGAATACGTAGAAAATTCGTAAAGGAAAAATGATATATATATATATATAGCTTCTTATGATTTTATCTATCGTCGAAAAACGAGTTCTCGTTGGGTATCCTGCGGAAAAATCTCGAGAAAATAGAACTCTTCGTTTCTCTAAAAAACTCGTAACTAAACAATATACATTCCGGGATCGATGATTCGTTCATTTTAAAATAATTTTTACACAGTAAACGGAATATATAAAATTATCTGTCGAGCTAAAATAGTACATCCTGTTAAATTTATCAATGATACGAATGTAATAATATTCTCGGAAATAGAAGGATCGCAGAATTTTCCGTGTTTCGAATAGTTAATAATAATTATTACATTATCTCTCGAGTACATCGAATCGATCGATCATTATTTATCGAGAAATTCGAAATGGAAATAAGAAATAATTTGCATTTGGATAGGATGAAAAAAACGCATAGGAGAGAGAGAGAGAGAGAGAGAGAGAGAGAGAGAGAGAGAGAGAGAGAGAGA